GAACTGCAGAACTTCTTAGGCAAAATGTTTTTTATGTGGGAAAATACAAAATTATGCGAGACAGATATTTCCCCAGGAGTAACAAATGCAAAGTACTCCACTTAGGAAACAACAATCAGTTGCACACATACAAATGGGAAATGACTGCCTAGGAAGGAGTACTGCAGAAAGGGATTTGGGGGTCATAATGGATCACAAGCTAAATATGATTGAACAGTGTAACACTGATGCAGAAAAAGCAAACATCATTCTGGGATGTATTAGCAGGAGTGTTTTAAGCAAGGCACAAGAAGTAATTCTTCTGCTCTACTCTGCGCTGATTAGGACTCAGTTGAACACTTCAATCTCCCTGGACATTCTATAAACAGATTTAAAAGTAACTATTCTTGAACAAAAAAACTTCAGAAACAGACTTCAAAGAGAATCAGCAGAACTAAAATTCATTTGCAAGTTTAACACCAGTAATTTGGGCTTGAATAGGGACTGGGAGTGGCTAGCTCATTACAAAAGCCGCTTTGCCTCTCCTAGAATTGACACTTCCTCATCTATTGTTGGGAGTGGACTACATCAACCATGATTGAATTGGCCCTGTCAACACTGGTTCTCCTCTTCTGAGGGTCTCTCTTCTCTTCATGTGTCATTATATAATGCCTGCATCTGTAACTTTCACTCCATGCATCTGAAGAAGTGAGGTTTTTTACCCACGTAAGCTTATGCCCAAATAAATCTGTTAGTTTTTAAGGTGCCACCGGACTTCTTGTTGTTCAAATACATAAAACGTTGTTACAAGGAGAAGGGTGAAAAACTGTTCTCCTTAACCTCTGAGGAGAGGACAAAAAGCAATGAGCTTAAATTGCAGCAAGGGAGGTTTAGGTTGGACATTAAGAAAAACTTCCTAACTCTCAGGGTTGTTAATCACTTGAATAAATTGCTTAGAGAGGTTGTTGAATATCCATCATTGGAGATTTTTAAGAGCAGGTTAGACAAACACCTGTCAGGGTTGGTCTAGATAATACTTAATCCTGCCATGAGTGCCAGGGACTTGACTAGATGACCTCTCGAGGTACTTTCCAGCCCTACGATTCTATGATTCAGACACCTTCTCACATATCCGAAGTGTAAGCACATCACCCCAATCCTTAAATATCTCCATTGGCTCCCTGTTTATAGAAGAATGTGGTTACAATTCACCCTATATTTCAAAATCCTTCCATGCACTGTCTGCAACTTTTCTGGATCACACAGGTGACTTTCCGCAAAAGTTTTAGAGAAATTAGAGACAATTTGAGAAACTCACCAGGACTTTCCCAGGGAATTGATTGCTGACCCTGAGGTTGGTCTGATACACCTTGATCTGTACAGGAGTGGTATTGTTCTCCTGGAAGTAGACTTCAAAGTCCACCAGTCCCTCTGCCTTCTTGCACAGAGCCGTGAGCTGGTAGCGGCAGGTGCCTTGGAAGTCGTATCTCTGTCCATCAAAGGTGGTGTAGTGCAGATTCCTTGTCACAGAGCAGGTGGCATAGCTGGAGGGGTAACAGCCCCGTACACCGTTCACTAGCCCGCACCTCTCCGACTGTTTGCACTTGGCGGCCACGCATTCGACTTGTTTAGTGGTTGCATTGCATATGCACCGTGTCCCACATGCCTCATCAACCCAGAAACTCTCATTGGGGGCATAGGGACGCCCCTCGAATAGGCACCCACAGCCGTGCATGGGTACGCATTTGCCCTGGCTCAGCACAAAACCATCCTTGCACTGGCAGCTCTCCATGCAGGGGTCTTGGCAGCTGCTGGGGGCTGACTGGTCCACACACGTGGCTGGGCAGGTTGTTCCACAGAGCTGGTACTGGCTATTCTCCAGGGGGCACTCCATGGCTGGGGAGTGAAGAACCCACAGATTTAGCAGCAAGTTCTCTCCAAGCAAAAGCAGTATTTAAAATAGGCAGAGGGGGATGTATCTTGTGGGGCTCTGAGAGCCCTCGAATCCCAGTGATCTCAACAGGAGCCGAGGGTGCTCAGCACACTGCAGGAGGTGATTAGCATCTTACAGGATCAGGTCCATGGTAGGAAGAGTGACTTAAAAACTGGCGTAATTTTACCCCAACCATCCATGAGTTATCAGTGGACGTTACATTCTCAAAGTGACAGACACCTTAGCAATACCACAGACAGACAAACACTGTGGGTACAATAGAACCCAGGAGTCCTGATTTCCCAATCACTGGTCAATCCCAAACCACTCGATCATGCCCCCTCCCAAAACCAGGGCTAGAACTCAAGAGTGCTGAGTTCCCCAGGCTCCCCGGTCTAACCAGCAGACCGTAGACCTTGGCATACAAATCTGTACTCACGGCATCTGGCCAGCTGCCTCCATTCCCCAATCCTGACCCCCTCCAGCTGGCAGGCGTCCGCGTAGGCCTTCAGGGCCTCACACAGGGCCATCCTGTAGCCGTCGTTCTGGCACTGATCGTACACGCAGTTGTCCAAGTAGACTGTAGGATCCACCTTGGTGTGGCACTGGCTGAAGGGCCCATCTGAGACCTTGGTTATCAGGCCGCACGAGGCCTCCTCCTTGTACTTTCTGGCGATGCTGGTGGCACAGAGCCTGCAACCTCCAATGCAATCGTACCAGCAAAACTGATCCTCATCTTCCACCGCCCAGCTTTTCCCCAGGGCGGTGACACTGGGAGCCAGGTCCCCATCCGGGGTCCGGAAGTCATCGGAGAGGTCCCCGTTATAGTTGCCGCACAGGCCGCACAGGCTCTCAGAGAAGTCATTAGGGACGGTGACCCTCAGGTGGTTGTTCCAGTCATAGGACACTCTGAGGTTGAAGTCAGTGCGGAGGACGAGGGAGGTGCCGCTCTGATAGAGCCGAAGGGCCCCGTTGTTCAGGGAGATGGGTAAGTGGGCCCTGTTGTTATTCACCTTCACGGTGAGAAAGAAAGGGGGAAAGGTCACAATTGAGTGCACTAGTCTGTCATTTGCAAAGTGGCCCCTACTCAGATAAGCAAGGGGTGCAACCTGGACCCAAATCTCTCAGTGAATCTGGATCCAAATCTGAACCAGAATTACTTTAAAACATCATATTAAATAGAGCTGGGTGGAGAAATGGAATTATTTTTGGAGGATTTCAATGTTTTGAAAGTTGTTTAATAATGGAACCACACTTTTAAAAGTCAAGACTGGGATCCTAAATTCTTAACTTTGCTGCACAGTAAAAATCATGGTTTTAATAAAGACACTGGATTTATAGATTATTACAGCAATCTGTAACTCAATAACCCACCCTTTGTATCCTATGATGTCAGTAGGTTTAACCACTTATGCTAAACAATCTGTTCTACCTTGTATTTAGCTATGACACTCTGAGGGCTCGTCTGTGATCGCGATCTGCGGCAGCAATTCAGCAGGAGGTCCTTCGCTCCGAGCGGGAGTGAGGGACCGTCCGCCAAATTGCTGCCGAATAGCTGGATGTGCCGCCCCTCTCCGGAGTGGCCGCCCCAAGCACCTGCTTGCCAAGCTGGTGCCTGGAGCTGGCCCTGGCTGGAGCACATATGACAAACAAATAGTGGGTGCTGAGCACCCACTGGCAGCCCTGTGTATCAGCTCCTTCCCCTCCTTCCCAGTGTCTCCTGCCCACCAAGATCAGCTGTTCCGCGGTGTGCAGGAGGCACTGGTGGGGGAGGGGTTGGAGCAGGGGTGGAAAGAGTTGCAGAGGGGGTAGGGGTTTGGGGGAAGGGGTATAGAGTGGTTGGAGCACCCCCCGGGAACCAAAATTTGGTGCCTATGTGCCCCTGAGCGACATATCTGGGTCAATCTAGTTCTCTAGCATAAACCAGCCATGAGAACCCTTCCCAGACCTGAAGAAGGGCTCTGGGTAGCTGGAAGACGTGTCTTTTTCATAGATTCATAGATTCTAGGACTGGAAGGGACCTCGAGAGGTCATCGAGTCCAGTCCCCTGCCCTCATGGCAGGACCAAATACTGTCTAGACCATCCCTGATAGACATTTATCTAACCTACTCTTAAATATCTCCGGAGATGGAGATTCCACAACCTCCCTAGGCAATTTATTCCAGTGTTTAACCACCCTGACAGTTAGGAACTTTTTCCTAATGTCCAACCTAGACCTCCCTTGCTGCAGTTTAAGCCCATTGCTTCTTGTTCTATCCTTAGAAGCTAAGGTGAACAAGTTTTCTCCCTCCTCCTTATGACACCCTTTTAGATACCTGAAAACTGCTATCATGTCCCCTCTCAGTCTTCTCTTTTCCAAACTAAACAAACCCAATTCTTTCAGCCTTCCTTCATAGGTCATGTTCTCAAGACCTTTAATCATTCTTGTTGCTCTTCTCTGGACCCTTTCCAATTTCTCCACATCTTTCTTGAAATGCGGTGCCCAGAAATCCAGTTGAGGCCTAACCAGCGCAGAGTAGAGCGGAAGAATGACTTCTCGTGTCTTAGACTCATAGACTCAGACTTTAAGGTCAGAAGGGACCATTATGGTCATCTAATCTGACCTCCCGCATGATGCAGGCCACAAAAGCTGGTCCACCCAATTTCCCTTATCTCAGCTGTTGAAGTCTCCAGATCATGATTTGAAGACTTCAAGTCGCAGAGAATCCTCCAGCTTGAGACCCCTGCCCTATGCTCCGGAGGAAGGCAAAAAACCTCCAGGGCCTCTGCCAATTTACCCTGGAGGAAAATTCCTTCCCGACCCCAAATATGGCGATCAGTAGAACCCCGAGCATACAGGCAAGATTCTCCAGCCGGACCCACATTTTACCAGCGATGGCACGTTATTGCCTAATTGACTAAAATCACATTATCCCATCAAACCATTTTCTCCATAAATTTATCTAGCCTAATCTTGAAGCCAGAGAGATCTTTCGCCCCCACCGTTTCCCTCGGAAGGCTGTTCCAGAATTTCACCCCTCTGACGGTTAGAAACTTTCGTCTAATTTCAAGCCTAAACTTCCCCACGGCCAGTTTATATCCATTCGTTCTCATGTCCACATTAGTACTGAGCTGAAATAATTCCTCTCCCTCCCTGGTATTTATCCCTTTGATATATTTAAAGAGAGAAATCATATCCCCCCTCAGCCTTCTTTTGGTTAGGCTAAACAAACCGAGCTCCTCGAGTCTCCTTTCATAGGAAAGGTTTTCCATTCCTCGGATCATCCTAGTGGCCCTTCTCTGTACCCGTTCCAGTTTGAGTTCATCCTTTTTAAACATGGGAGACCAGAACTGAACCCAGTACTCCAAATGAGGTCTCACTAGCGCCTTGTATAACGGAAGCAGCACCTCCTTGTCCCTACTAGAAATACCTCGCCTAATGCATCCCAAGATCGCATTAGCTTTTTTCACAGCCACGTCACATTGCCGGCTCATAGTCATCCTGCGATCAACCAGGACTCCGAGGTCCTTCTCCTCCTCCGTCACTTCCAACCTATGCGTCCCCAGCTTATAATTAAAATTCTTGTTAGTCATCCCTAAATGCATCACCTTACACTTCTCACTATTAAATCTCATCCTATTATTATTACTCCAAATTACAAGGTCATTCAAGTCTCCCTGCAGAATATCCCGATCCTTTTCCGAATTGGCAATGCCTCCCAACTTTGTGTCATCCGCAAACTTTATAAGCCCACTCCTACATTCGGTTCCAAGGTCAGTAATAAATAGATTAAATAAAATCAGACCCAAAGCCGAACCTTGAGGAACCCCACTGGTGACCTCCCTCCAACCTGACAGTTCACCTTTCAGTACTACCCGCTGCAGTCTCCCCTTTAACCAGTTCTTTATCCATCTCTGGATTTTTATATCGATCCCCATCTTTTCTAATTTAACCAATAATTCCTCATGCGGTACCGTATCAAACACTTTACTAAAATCGAGGTATATTAGATCCACCGCATTTCCTTTATCTAGAAGGTCTGTTACCTTCTCAAAGAAGGAGATCAGGTTGGTTTGGCACGATCTGCCTTTTGTAAACCCATGTTGTAATCTGTCCCAATTGCCATTCACCTCAAGGTCCTTAACTACTTTCTCCTTCAAAAGTTTTTCCAAGACCTTGCATACTACAGATGTTAAACTAACAGGCCTGTAGTTACCCGGATCACTTTTTTTCCCCTTCTTGAAAATAGGAACCACATTAGCTATTTTCCAGTCCAACGGTACCACCCCCAAGTTTACAGATTCATTAAAAATTATCGCTAAGGGGCTCGCAATTTCTCGCGCCAGTTCCTTCAATATTCTAGGATGAAGATCATCCGGTCCGCCCGATTTGGTCCCGTTTAGCTGGTGAAGTTTGGCTTCCACCTCTAATACTGTAATGTCTATCCCCTCTCCTCCATTCCCCTCTGTCCTGCTCCCTCTATTCCTAAGCCCTTCATTAGCCTTATTAAAGACTGATGCAAAATATTCATTTAGATATTGTGCCATGCCTAAATTATCCTTAATCTCCACTCCATCTACATTCTTCAGCGGTCCCACTTCACTATTGGATTTAATTCCCCTCGCAAGGTCCAACTCTACACGGCTTTTGGCCTTTCTCACCACATCCCTACATGCTCTGACCTCAATAAGGTAGGTTTCTTTGCCGATCCCTCCCCCCTTCCATTCTTTGTACGCTTTCCGTTTTTTCTTAATTGCCTGTTTGAGACGCCCACTCATCCAGCTAGGTCTAAATCTCCTGCCTAATAACCGTTTTCCCTTTCTCGGGATACAGGCCTCGGACAGCTCGTGCAACTTCAACTTGAAACAATCCCAGGCGTCATCTGCCTTTAGATCCCTAAGTATGTTAGCTCAGTCCACTTCCCTAAGTAGTTGCCTTAAAGTTGGCCTTTTTGAAATCATAAACCTTAGTCACAGTTTTATTTCTGTTAATCCTTCGATTTAGTTTAAACCGAATTAGCTCATGGTCACTCGAGCCAAGGTTGTCCCCTACAACCATTTCCTCAACGAGGTCCTCACCACTCACCAGCACCAAATCTAAAATTGCATCCCTCCTCGTCGGTTCAGTTACTACTTGATGAAGGAATTCATCTGCTAGCACGTCTAAGAACATCTGAGCCCTATTATTGTTACTAGCATTTGTTCCCCAATCTATAGCTGGGAAGTTAAAGTCCCCCATAATTACACAGTTCTTATTAGTTTTTATTTGCCTAAAAACATTAAATAGTTCTCTGTCTGCATCCAGGCTAGATCCCGGCGGTCTATAGCACACCCCGAGCACTATCTCAGGGGAGGCTTTAGTAGTTCTTTTACCCAGTGTAATTAGTGCCCAGACAGACTCAGTCTTATCCATTCCATCACTTATTATTTCTTTACATTTTACCTCATCATTGACATACAATGCCACTCCCCGACCTTTACCTTTTTTCCGGTCATTCCTAAACAGCACATACCCTTCCATACCTGTACTCCAGTCATGACTACCGTTCCACCAAGTTTCAGTTATTCCTACGATATCCGGTTTCATTTCTTGGACCAGGAGCTCCAATTCCTCCATTTTGTTACCTAGGCTTCTCGCATTGGTGTATAAACATCTTACCGTATGCTGTCTATCCTTTCTCCCATTAGTTATGCAATTTGGTACGGACCCCATATTGTCCATCCGCCCCCTCCTTCTTATGTCCAATCCCCTACCCCTATCTATATCTGTGCTTATCTCTTCACTCTCTTTTTCAGTGTTGGAATCTGGCGTGGAGATTAACTGGACATCTCCCAACCGTCTCCCCCAACCTCCCCCAACCAGCGCAGAGTAGAGCGGAAGAATGACTTCTCGTGTCTTGCTCTCAACACACCTGTTAATGCATCCCAGAATCACATTTGCTTTTTTTGCAACAGCATCACACTGTTGACTCATATTTAGCTTGTGGTCCACTATAACCCCTAGATCCCTTTCTGCCATACTCCTTCCTAGAT